GTTCCAGGTACGTCCCACCAGAGGGAGACCCAGGGGACGACCAGGTCACCTTGTAGGGACAATTTCACTCAGCTGGTCCTGGAGACCTTTGGCTCTGCCCAGGGGAACTGAAGGAGGTGTGTGGGGAGAGGAAAGTCTTTACTGGGGCTGTTTACCACGGGAACTGATCCCAAATAAGCAGAAGACAAGTTTAAATATATTCATATATGTATAAATAAACTACAATCGCCTCCTCGTACTGCGGAGCCCTTTCATCTCACGTTTGAAGCTCATTTATCATCACAGTAGCCTGGTTCCTTCACACTTGACCTTGTTTATACACATAGATCTATATTTATATAGATATGTCTGTATGTATATATTCTTAGAGCTGCGTTTTTGGTTTATGAGTCTTTCTTACGAGATTCTGCTGACATGCCTGAAGCATTCACAATTTATCCTTTTTGAAAACAATTATTCCAATATTCTTGATTCTTTTATAAGGTAAAATGAAACAGAATATTTTTTTAAGACCTTAGGTTGTATGAAAATTAACCTTATGATGCAAAGAGGGCTTCAAGCTTCATATTTGAACCTCCTGGCTCTTTTTGATAGAAATTATCTCCTCTAAAACTCATCTTGTCTGGTAATAAAACTAAATCATAGAATGCAAAAAGATTAAGTTTTTTCTAATTTATTGCCTTTAATTTATCATTGTTGCAGCTTATTATAAAAAAGCTTCACTGAAACAAGAAAAACTGTTTTAGTTTTTAAACTAGAATCTTTATTAAAACATATTAAAACCTGCATTTGTGCTAAAAAACAAAACAAAATACTGTTTATTGTTTCCTCAGCTCAAGTTATCAACTTGTGACAAAGTGGTGTTAAATAGGAGAATAACTGGGGCCCAATTTATGGTGAGTAATTTTATCGCTCATGTAATGTTAAACTTTTATAGAAATAAACAAACAGATTTCCTCACATCCAAAACATCCTCCTCATCCAGCACATGATCCAACATGAACTTGAAGTGTTCCCAATCCTCTCGATCCCGTAAGTTTAAGAAAACCTGTTGCTCAGCGTACTATAGTACTCTGATGTGTTTAAAGTGGCTGTTTGACTCATCATTTACAGAATACTCGCAAAAATCCAGAAAGATCTCAACAAACCAGAGAAGAAGAAAACTTTTTATTCAAAGTAAGTGAGCAGAGGCTGATCATGTCCGCTGAAAGTGAAACTAACCCAAAAAAAGAACTCACCTTTATCTTATGTGCAGATTTAGGACGCAGAATCATCCAGCACAAGGTACACGACTCAGTTCAACTTAGTAAATAGAATCAACCAATCGTCTTCTCTTCCATCTGTTTAATGTTTATTCTCACACAGGCCAGGAAGAAAAAGTCCAGGAGACAAATGAGTTTGTGAGTGAAATACTACTTAAAGTCTATTGAATTTTTATTTGGTTTTGCCTCTTAGAGCAAAAATAAAATCACACATTTGGGCTTTATTACTCTGCAGAAATGAACCATAACTAACCCTCTCCAACTAGGATAGCGACAGCGATGAGTATGAAGAGTTTCAGCAGGAGGCAGCAGATGGAAACTACATCTTTCCTCTTAATGAGCCACACGCAGCAGAGAGTCCACAAAACATCAAAGCAGAAGACCACAGGTTTCCGAGACCGCCTGGACCCCAGAAGGTGTTTAAAGGACCCTGCCATCCCATGGGTAATAAAACAAATCTAGTTTATTTCTATAGCACCAATTAACAACACGTCATTTGGAGGCACTTTACAGAGATAATTGAATCAGATCAGCCAGTCGGATTGATTCAAAGTTGTCTATCTAAAAACCAGCTGATTGCATCGATTCGTTGACGCGACGGCAATCTCGCACACTAAGCTTTGATGTAGCGACAGTGGAAAGGAAAAACTCCCTTTTAACAGGAAGAAACCTCCATTAGAACCAGGCTCAGTGTGAGCTGCCTTCTACTGAGGCCGACTGGGGTTCAAGGAGACAGAAGCAGACAGCGGAAATAGAAAACAATTGGATCAATTACTACTTTCTATGCGAGAAAAGGTAACTCTAAACTAGCTCATAAGCTACTCTACTATGATGAGAAAAAGCAGAGAGAGCATAAAGTTAGGGTTGGAACTAACAAATACTACTGAATAAGAAAACAGAGTTAGACTGAAACCTGATGATGAAAAATGGGCCCTATGCCCTCCGGCAGTCTAAGCCTATAGCAGCAGAACTATAGAGATAGCTCAGGATAACCTGAGCCACTCTAACTAGAAGCTTAATCAAAAAGGAAAGTTTTAAGCCTAGCCTTAAAAGTAGACAGGGTGTCTGCCTCACGGACTAAAACTGTTAGTTGGTTCCACAGGAGAGGAGCCTGATAACTAAAAGATCTGCCTCCCATTCTACTTTTAGAAATTCTAGGAACCACTAGTTCCTCATGACATCATGGTAGACATCAGGTTGTTTACAATGTGCAATGAGAAATGAGTCCAGAGGAAAGTAGGAGTATGTATTTTTACTACGAATGAAAAAGTTTGCCTCCTGATTATTATTCAACTAATTATACATAAATTACTGTTATTTTTTTTAACCAGTAAAGCTTGAGTGCTAAATGATTGTTATTCCTCATTCTAGATCATCCTTATAATTCTCAACAAATCAAGAAGCCTCAGAAACCTCCTCTCCCTCCTCACAAAGCCTTTCCACGCCCACAGCCCAGTATGTAAAGCATGTTAGAGGTTTTCATGAAGACAAAACTCATCTCTACATCTCACGTTTTTCATAACCGTCCAGCAGAGGGCAGTGTTGCCATGGCTACAGGTTCACATACCAACAGCCGGCAGGTACCAGCAATCCCTCAGAGGACTGTGTTCACCAGGTGAGAAAGAAAATCCTGCAAGTTTCTGTATTTATTTACTGTAACTCTTTCGCTTCCTTTAACTATTTATTTTTTTTCTATCATTTTAACTTCTTCTTTCTCAGGGAAAATAATCAAACTCCAAACGTTCCTGCACCAGCGCCACGCACTCATTTAAGTGCACCAACAAAATCATCCAGACAGGTGATAAAAATGTGTATTTTTAGTGTCCTAACACCCAGTGGTGCCACCAGGGGGTGGCCAGAGGTGCCCGCTGGACAGGGTAAATTATATTACCATCAATTTAGCTTTTCATCCGATTATGCACAGCCAGCTACTTACAGTAACATTAAAAAATCACACAATAAACCAAGATATGAGCATGGGCGGCTCTAGACAGGGGCCAACGGGGGCCAGGGCCCCTGTAGATCAAGTCCTGGAGCCTGTTATGGCCCCTGTACTGAAGACATAAGACTCAAAGAAATTCTAATGATGATATGCGCTGAAACAAACATGGTTACTGATAGGTCCTTTGGATCTATTTTATTTTTTTCTTCACAAATTCTGTGTTTTACTAATTATTTAAAACCATAAGGTGATAGCTTCAGTGGTATTAAGATAAGATCCCAATTTTCATCTGCCACATTTTATTTTTTTCAAAATAAATGAAAAAAAATCTAATTTTTACAGCTGAATTTATCAGTTTTTCTTGAGTTCTAATTCAGATTTTATAGAAAACAGTAATATTACCTTAAATTAAGTCAAAAATATTTAAAATTCCTAAATTATGAATGTATATTGACCTAATAAGATATAGACTTTTAATTAAACCTAATTAAATAGAAATTTCACTTCATGCAGCTATATTAAAATATTTGAATCCCTTGCTCTGTTTTTTTATTTCATTTTTTCTGTGCCCCCATGGAAACACGAAAAAATTTGTATTTTTACTTTTAAAATAAGATAATAAGATGATATACACTTGAACTAAGACAATGCAATGGTGTTTTCTTTTTTTAAATGTAAATTGTTTTGTTTCATTGGCAAAATGTCTCTTTTACCTCCTCAATTCAAGAGCAAATGCAGTTAATTTAAGAAAAAATGACTTATCTGAATTTCGATTTTTTTCCAGTGTACCGTGTTTTGGTTTAGTTACACTGTAAAAATGATCTAGAAATAAGTAAACATTTCTTAAATTAAGGGCCGGATCTATCAAAGGTTTGCGTGTATAAAAACGTGAGCTATTTCACAGCGCACGCTAAAAATGTACAAACTGATCTATCAACAGCGTGCTAAAAGGATTTGGTCTTTAAAACGTGCTAAATAGCGCCTCTTATCCATTTAGTACTTTTTCTGCAATGAATATGCAATATGGGGCGTTTACACGCAAAAGTGCGTCTTGTGGGAGGAGAACATGTAAACAGTAATTTTTAACTCTAAAAATTCTGTTTTACTAATTATTTAAAGACAATAAAAAAGGATCCCAGGATTCAAAAAACAAATTTAAAAAATACAAGCTGAATTTATCAATTTTTCTTGAGTTCTAATTCAAATTTTATAGAAAACAGTAATATTACCTTAAATTAAGTCAAAAATATTTAAAATTCCTAAATTATGAATGTATATTAACCTAATAAGACATAGATTTTTAATTAAACCTAATTGAATAGAAATTCCAATTCATGCATCTTAATATATTTGAATCTCTTGCCCTGTTTGTTTTTTTTTATTTCCTGCTTTTCTGGGCCCCCATGAAAACACGCCGGCCCCCTCCTGGCCCCATGGTACATTTGGTCTAGAACCGCCACTGGATATAAGTAGGTTTTTCACTGAAATCTTTATGATTTCTACAGGCTGGTTTACCACAATAGTAGATTCAAACCCTGAAATTATGGCTTTTAGTTTCAGTGGTCACCCCAAGATTTTTAGTAGCCCCATCTGCCCCCCCATGAAACATTTCTGGGGGCGCCACTGCTAACAGCAGAGGGCGATGTTGTTAAAGAGCAAAAACGCTGATGAAGAACTCAAAAACACATTTTTATTGACAAGTGAGATACAGTAACTATAATTATCTTTATTTTCTTTGTCTAATGTTGCAAAATAACATCAGAAATACAAAGAGGAATTTCTTTGTCTTTTTTTTTGTCACTGTGAGTCCAGGTTTTGGATCCCAGCTGGTACAGGGGAAGAATAACCCGACATCAGGCTGAAGTCTCTCTCAGAGAGGTGAACAAGGTTAGACGTTGCATCGTTAATTCTGTCGATTAAATAAAGACACACAGAGATGTTAGAGAGAAAACCAGCAGCAGGTTGATGATCTGAGTGGTGTTCTGTCTTAAAGGACGGAGCGTTCTTGGTGAGGGACAGCTCACACAGCTCCTCACAGCATCCCTACACGCTGATGCTGCTTTACCAGGCCAGGATTTTCAACATTAAGATCCAAAAACAGAACGAGTGTTATTATCTGGGAAATGGAACCAAGAACACTAAGGTACGCCAAAATGGAAAACAATAAAATGAACGTTTTGCTCTCTGATTAAACTGAAAAGTTGACACATTGCGGCGAGCCTCAGGGAATGTTTGATGTTGTGGTGCGTGGCGAGGTTCCCCGTCGTTTTCAGTGTGTGCTGTTGTGCTTTAGAGTTTCCTGGGGGTGAGGGAGATGATTATCCATCACATGAACACCCCGCTGCTGCTCATTGATGCCGCAGACCAGGGCTCTGAGGAGCAGCTGCAGTGCTGCCTGCTGCACCCTGCGGGACTCTGACCACACCAACAGGCTTAATGTGAGCGCTCGCATCTGTTCCTGTCTTCTCTGCGTTCTCATTTCCTTGCATGTGTGTTTGCTCTTTGCATGTTCATTTTTAGGAAACCTCTGAAATAAATGTCACAACGTTAAGAACCTCAAAAGGTCATGTTATGTAATCTCTTAATCCTTGTTTTGGAAAACAGAGGGAGACTAAATTAATATCTTTCATGAGGATTATGGTTTTTTTTTTTTACTTTGCTTTTTTTTTCTGCACAGATTACCTCTGATCCTCACGCCTCCGATTCAAGGCTGCTGTTTCTTCACCTCCTCTTGGATTTTTTGGAGGAATGCAGCTTTGTCGGGCTGGTTAACACAAACGATCAGGTCACATTGCATCAGATGGGTTTGCACTGCAGAGAGAAACACAATATCTTTCTGCCACCTGTGCCTCAGGTCAATGTAGCAACTGTTACACCTGAGAAGGGAGAAATTTTGTTGTGTACTGAGTGTCTCCTTCAATTACAAACAGTTTTATAAGTCGACTGGACTCAGATTTACTGGACTTCATTTGCAGGCTGATGTTTTTTGCAATTATTTCCCATTGGTGTTAGTAGACGGGGGCCGAAAGGGGCCTAATAAATTCTATGATGGCCCCTGTACTGAAAACATGCACCGCAATAATTCCAATCTGTTAAAGATTTCATCATATCCCTAAATGAATTATTTTCTTATGAAAAAAGAATCAAATTCTTCTGTGTAGAAGAACCAAATAAAGAATGGATTATTAAAATGTATAAAAAAATCCTTATTTAATGGTAAAAGTTGCAAAATATTTTCAGAACAGTGGGAACACACACTGTAAAAACCATGGGGGTTCAAAACGGGGAACAGACATGGTTACTGATAGGTCCTTTGATCTATTTCATTTTTTTCTTTAAAAATTCTGCTCTACTAATTATTTAAAAACAATAAGGTGATCGCTTCAGTGGGATTGAGAAAGGATCCCAGTTTTCAAAAAACAAATTTTAAAAATACAAGCTGAATTTATCAGTTTTTCTTGAGTTCTAATTCAGATTTGATATAAAAATAAAAAAACAGTAATTTTAACTTTAATTAAGTCAAAAATATAAAGAAAATCCTAAATTATGAATGTACATTGACCTAATAAGACACAGACTTTTAATTAAACCTAATTAAATAGAAATTTTACTTCATGCAGCTATATTAAAATATTTGAATCCCTTGCTCTGTTTTTTATTTCATTTTTTCTGTGCCCCCATGGAAACATGAACAAATTAGTATTTTTACTTTTAAAATAATAAGATGATATACACTTGAACTAAGACAATGCAATTGTGTTTTCTTATTTTAAATGTAAATTATCTTGTTCGATTGGCAAAATGTCTCTTTTACCTCCTCAATTCAAGAGCAAATGCACTTATTTTAAGAAAAAATGACTTATCTGGATTTCATTTTTTTTTTCAGTGTACCGTGTTTTGATTTAGTTACACTGTAAAAATGATCTAGAAATAAGTAAACATTTCTCAAATTAAGTGTATTTACTCTTAATTTTTGTAGGTAAATGAAATGCTTTGCCAATGGAATGAGTATTTTTACTCTTACAAGAAGTTATTTAGATAAAATGCACTTAAAATAAGACAATGCAATGGTGTTTTCTTTTTTTTAATGTAAATTGTCTTGTTTCATTGGCAAAATGTCTCTTTTACCTCCTCAATCCAAGAACAAATGCGCTTATTTTAGGAAAAAATAACTTATCTAGATTTCAATTTTTTCCAGTGTTGTTATTGTTCTGACACTGGCCCCCACCCTGAACCCCCTGCTGAAATTCATCTAGAACCGCCACTGCACTTACTTTTCACTTTTTATACATTCAAGTGTAATTATATACAAAAAAAAAAAAAAAAAATGATTAGTGAAAACAGTTTGGACAGAAAAAAGGTAGAAAATGCACTTTAAATAATTTTTTCACTCTGCGTATGAAGTCTTGGAAACTGGAAGTTTTGACTCTGCAAATATCCCCCCCCCAACAGGAAGCTACTGAAGCCGGAGAACGAACTACGCTGTCAGACAGAAATTATGAGCCCTCCACTTGCCCTGCAGGTTTTATTTAAATTAAAAGAGTCAAACCCACAAACTGTACAAATGTTGAAGCTGAACAATGTTTATTATTTTAAATATCTGACTGTGTGATGAACTCTGGTAGCCATAATAATCCCATGTAGTAAATCACCATCAATAGTCATGTAATTAATTATGTTATAAATCTGCCTTTTGAAAAAAAACCCAGAGGATTGTTGGGGGAAATGATTTGCATTAAAGTACGAGGGTTTAGTGACTGTAAAGACGCCTAGAGCAGCTTTGGATGCTTCAAATCCTAAGCATTTAAAAATTGGGGAAAGTATTTTAAAGGAAAAGTCCGGTCACATTCAGAAACTTCTTAAAGTACTTTAAATATAAAATGTTCAATAAATGATCAGTGTTTTTAAATAACAGTAATGTTCCTTTGAATGTGCTTTACTGGAGGCATCCATGTTTGTCAAAGAACACTACTGCCCCCTACTGGTTAGTGACG